ATATATATATATATATATATATATATATATATATATATATATATATATATATATATATATATATATATATATATATATATATATATATATATATATATATATAATTGTTTCATGTTTCTGATGTGATGTTTAGCAGAGCAAGGACATTTTTCAGTATTTTATAAAAAATTCTTTCAAATTAATTTTTTTCAGTAATTTCTAAAATATTATTATTATTGTTAATATTATAATTTCATGACTACAATAGTATTAGCACCCTTGAGATTTGTTTTCCACTGATTGGCTACAGAACAAACCTGTTGTCCAATGATTTGCCTAATTAATCTTATTAACCTAGTTAAGCCTTTAAATTGGACTTTAAGCTCAACACTAGTGTATTGTATCTATACTGTATATACACTCACGGCCACTTTATTGGTACATCTTACTAGTACCGGGTTAGACCCCTTTTGCTCTTAGAACTGCCTTAATCCTTCGTAGCATAGATTCAACAAGATATAAGAAAATTCCTCAGAGATTTTGCTCCATATTGACATGATAGCATCACGCACTTGCTGCTGATTTGTCGGCCGCACATCTATGATGTGAATCTTTCGTTTTATCACATCACAAAGGTGCTCTATTGGATTGAGATCTGGTGACTGTGGAGGCCATTTGAGTACAGTGAACTCATCGTCGTGTTCAAGAAACCAGTCTGAGATGATTCACGCTTTATGATATGGCACATTATCCTGTTCAAAGTAGCCATCAGAAGATGTGTACACTGTGTTCATAAACTGATGGACATGGTCAGCAACAATACTCAGGTAGGCTGTGGCGTTGACATGATGCTCAGTTGGTACTAATGAACCCAAAGTGTGCCAAAAAAATATCTCCTACACCATTACACCACCACCACCAGCCTGAGCCGTTGATACAAGGCAGGTTGGATACATGCTTTCATTTGGTCGATGCCAAATTCTGACCCGTCATTCGAACGTCGCAGCAGAAATGGAGCCTCATCAGACCAGGCAATGTATCTCCAACCTTCTGTTGTCTAAATTTAGTGAGTCTGTGTGAATTGTAGCCTCAGTTTCCTGTTCTTAGCTGACAGGAGCGGCACCCGGTGTGGTCTTCTGCTACTGTAGCTCATCCGCCTCAAGGTTGGACATGTTGTGCGCTCAGAGATGCTCTAGATCAAATGAAATACTCAGACCAGCCCATCTGGGACCACGTTCAAAGTCATTTAAATCAGCTTTCTTCCCCATTTTGATGCTCGGTTTGAACTGTAGCAGATCGTCTTGACCATGTCTACATGCCTAAATGCATTGAGTTGCAGCCATGTGATTGGCTGATTAGAAATTTTGCGTTAACGAGCAGTTGGACAGGTGTACCTAATAAAGTGGCCGGTAATGTGTATATATTCATATATAATCAGCATAATTGTTTGGACTTAACAGAAATGTCTACATACTTTAGCTTAATATAATTACTGTTATTTTAACTACAACTATAACCCTAATAACTAGCTATAACTTTTTTTTTTCTTATTTGTACCCCCTTGTCAGAAGCCTAGCTCACAATGACTTTTTTTCACAACCCATTCAATTCCAAATACTAACTTCTAAATTCCCCAAATCATCGTAATGCCACAAAAATGCCTTGCGGTCCAAATCACAGAAATCTCCTGAGCAGGTGAAGCCCGTGAGCTGCTCTGAGAGCAAACAAATGAAGGTCAAAGCAACCCTAAAGGAGAGAAACATGACATCCAGCCCATATATGTAGGTCAGAACGGCACGAACATCAATGTCACACACGCGCACGCACACACACACACACACGCACACAAACACAGACATGGTGGAAGGTGCTGAGCACGAGACTGACCTCTTCACGCTCTGACTGCTGTCTGTTGGGTACAGAAAACTGAATTTGTCAGTGGAATGCCCGCTTGCCATTCTCAGTGAAGGAAAGGCAAATGAAGGAGGTAGGAAGAATGGATATGCAAATCTGGAAATGACAAAAAAAGAAGGAAACAAACAAAAACGAGAGCAGGTCATGATTAAAAAGGCAAACCATCAGGCACAAGCACAGCAGAGCAAAGCAACATAAAGCAAGCAAAGCGAGAGACAGAGAGAGAGAGACATACAGTTGAAGTCGGAATTATAAGCCCTCAGGAATTATCTGTATATTTATTTCCCTAATTTACATGTAACGGTAAGTTGACAGTACATAATATTTGACTGGATATTCTTCAAGATACTAGTATTCAGCTTAAAGTGACATTTAAAGGCTTAACTAGGTTAGTTAGAGTAAAGTTAGGGGAATTAGGCAAGACAAACATTGACATGAGGGTTAATAATTTTGACTTCAGCTGTACATACAGTGACGAGCAGCAGAAAGCAAACCTTCACACACTGATGGACAGATCAGCATGAGGTGGAGAACGGAAACAAGCGCTGGATCTGAGCAGTGTTTGGTGAGCGTTTATCGCGTGCATGCGAGTTCAGCTGCGGTCAAATGCACTTAGCGTCATGTCCTTTAATAAGACGCTTATTTCATCAGCACACAGAGAGGTTGAAAAAAGGGATATGAGCTGCATTTCACGTTATTTCATATTAAGGTTAATCGGGTTGCCATGTCTGAAGATTTACCACAAAAATTGGGCCTACTTTTAACCCCTTTCGGCTTTTTGAATTTTTATTTTAAACATTTATTTGACCACCCTACTGAAAAAAACAGCTTAAACCAGCCTAGGCTGGTTTAAGCTGGATTTTTCAGCAGGGCAGAAATGATTCATATTCTCTCTAACAGAAGTGTCCAGGCCCAAATGGGCATCAAGACAGACTTTACACCAGTGGTGGGCAAACTTTTTAGACCTGGGGGCCACATCAAGTTTTGCAAACCAAGTGAATGGCCACAGGTCAAACCCTTCAAAACAAACTTCTATGTATAGTGGCAGTATGCAAGGAACATGTAATATCGCACAGAAACGTGTCACATTAGCACACATTTTTTTAATAGTTATTATTGAGTCATATTTACAAGTCAAATTAATTTGCACTGCTATTTATATTTACTTATCAATAATCTTAAAGCAATAAAATATTCTCACATAAAATATATTAATAGTCATGTAAAAAAATTTACAGTGGAGAATAGAAAAGATATTGTCTGATAGAAAAAATCTCATATTAACACGTTAAAAATAATTTAAACGTTTGCGTGAAAAATGCCGACTTAGCTTGTGGTCTTTAAAAACAGCAATACTTTCTTGGCATATTAGACCTACCGCTTTTCTGTCCGATATTGGTGAAGAAGTATTTTGTTGTCCATTCTTCCTTAAACACGACATTTAGAGTCAGTTGTTTTTTGGCCTGACTCAGTCAGTAAGTGCATTTTAATATCCGTGATGGTGTTCTAATTCTACTGGTTGCTCTAACTGTACCACGTGCAATACTGCCATCAAATGGCGCCCACTTGTATTGCATCAATAATTTACAAATTCTGAAACCAAACCGTTAAGCCTGGTTTATACTTCTGCGTCAAGTGACAAGCGTAACCCACGTCGCATGCAATGCGCGTAGCTGTGCATTTATACTTCTGCGCGCTGTCTCTGTTGGTCTGCATTTACACTTCTGAAACGCTAGTTGGCAGTGAGGTGTTAATGTTCCTCTGTGTCGAGTTTCTTCGTTAGTGTTTGGTTTTTTCTGAACGCTTCCTGAATGTACAAGTGGCTCAAACTCGCTCATTTTGAGGCAGGAACCGGCGGACATGCAACAACTTTAACTGTGAGGTAAACACAAAACTTTCCATCCGGAGCTCCTTCACGGGACTTTACACTTGTAAACAATCGCTCCATCAGGCTCGCGCCACTCGCATGGCTTTCAGTCCCAGCCTGACTTGTCAGCACCACCAAGCCGACTAATCACAGAGCTTGCAATACGCGTCATTGAGATGTGTGGTTACATTTTTTAAGAGGTGCACGTCAGCAACGCCACCATGCGTCAACGCGTAGGCTGCGCCGTAGCTTACACGTGCGCTCGACGCAGAAGTATAAATCAGCCTTTACTCAGAAGCTTGTGGCCAGTATAAAAGTGTTTAACAGGCCGTATATGGCCCACAGGCTGTACTTTGCTCACCTCTGCTTTACACTTTGAAAAAATCCTTGAATTTTGTCTCATTTCTAGTCCAAATAAATGTGGACATATATGCGAGAGGATATCATGTATTCTGGAAGTGTACAAAAAGGAGCACCTGATTGTGATGAACATTGTCTGATGAAGAGCCGGGTGGCTCGAAACGTTACACGCTTTGTGTCAGCCTTTTTAATTTAATAAATTTGTATTTTTGGAGCCTTGGTGTTGCCGCCTTTGATTAACATTTAGTCTAAATATCCAAAAATTCTTAAATCAAGAAGCATTTTCTATATATATATATATATATATATATATATATATATGTATAATTTTATATATATATATATGTATAATTTTATATATATATATATATATGTATAATTTTTTTTTTCTATATACAATTCTATAGATATATTATTTCCTTATTTTCAGAAATATTGTTAGAACAAGAAAATCTGCCATTGGAGTAAGCAAAATAATCTTATTTCAAAGCGAAAACAAAATTATTTTGCCTTTTTAATTAAAACTTAAATGTTTTATTTGTCTAGAAAATGTTTCTTGATATTTAAATTTTTTTAAAGTTAAATTTCTATTTATTTATTTTTTATTTTTTTGCAGTGCAGGACAGCTTGCACCTTAAGAACACTCAAAAAAGATTACAAATTATAGAATAATATTAACCTTAGCAAAAAATGTGTGTCATTTAAAAAAAAAAAATAATTGTTTTATCCCAACTAAAACCAAACTAAAGGATTAAAACTATAAGATTTTATCAAAAAGACAAATATTTTACTGTAAATATTATTAAATATTAAAATATTAAATACTGTAAACAATATAACAATTTAAATGTAAGTAAAACTTTTATTCTATGTATGGGATTAATGGGCTAACAAATTTCCATTGATCTATTGATATTTAAGAACTCACAGTAGAATCATCCTGTATAGAATCTGTACTCTTATTCTGGAGTAATAATCAAGGAGCTGCAGCAGGCACTATGATATTACGCAGCACCTGAAAATAGTCCCCAGCTGAATAACTAAGTAACTGCGTAATATCATTGCACCTGCTTCAGCCATGGTCCAGCAGCAAAGCTCCTTAATTATTATGCCAGAATGAGAGTATAGAACCATTCAATGTGGTCATGTCATTGGCCCATAAACATTTCCTGCTTGTAAACAAACTATTTCTTAACTGTAAAAAAAGGCAATTCAATCACATCTTAAATGTTAAAACAGCTGTCATAACATTATTTATCAATATTCTCAGAAGCTATAGGAATTAAAAATGTAAACAGGAAATACGTTGGGAGTACTGTTTTTGTTTACATCTCTTAAAATGTATTATAGTTCCAAGCCAAATCAGTTTCAGAAAATAGCAACATTTTTTTTTTTCTGTCAGACTTATTCCATGATATAAATAAAAAAAGGTGTCAAGCTTGAAATAGTGACATGCATTTTTGAGTGAGATGCAAATGGTCTAGTCCAGTGGTTCTCAAACTGTAGTACGCAGGCTTACTTCTAGTGGTACGTGGAGGAATGAAATGTCATGTACATGCTACATTTATTTCAAAATTTATAAAAAATGATGTATATAATATGCCATAAATGACGTATAGCCTATATTTTTGAGGTAATCTGCCATGTTTTTTTTAACTGTGCAGAGTTGTTGCTGCTTTACTGGGCCTATTACGCGACTGTATTTCAATACTGCTCAATTTGGTGGTACTTGGAGAGTTTGAGATCCACTGGTCTAGTCTGATTCAATGATTTATGCAAAGCTTAAAAATGGTAAAACTCAATAGTTCCTCTCTAGGAGAGTTGTAAAATGAGTCTATATATACTCAAGAACAGTCACCAACATCTTGGTTGGCCTCAAAGAGAATAAATCAACAGCAAATTACAATTTCTGCGAGAACCATCCCTTTAAATACCGCCATCAAAATCACACCATCACATGCACAATCAGTATGTCAAATGCTAAATAAATATTTAACTGCTACCTTGCCAGTTAACACAGTCTTCACACTGCCAGTAATCATGCATAATGTCCACACACTTTCTAATAAAACGTAATTATGAAGGTTATACCGGGATACAATGTTAGTATTAGTTCTACTGTAATAGATCTGACAGCAACTTAACTTTTGAAAATCACATCTGCCCTGTCACAAAAACAGCCTTCGTGCATCTCAGTAATCTTGCTAAGCTAAGAAACATGCTATCTATCTCAGAAGCAGAAAAGCTAGTCAATGCTTTTATGACCTCTAGATTAGATTACCATAATGCTTTGTTCGCTGGTTGTCCAGCATCTTCTATTAACAAACTTCAGTGCAAAATCTTCGAAAGCATTTTCACGAACATTAACATCTCATGTTCAAATACATTATGAACAGCAGCTAAGTTCATTCTTCTCTACGCTCTTTATTTCCAACTGCAAACGTCCATCCTGAGGCCCCTAAATATAATAAAAAAATATATATATATAATAAAAAAAAGTCGCTCAAACAGATTTAAGACCTTTGAAGAGATGAGAACAACCATCCTAGGACTTCAAGGACAACACATACACTTAATACACTTCACTGAACTGCTGCTTTGAAAAAAACATTAATTGTGAAAAGTGCTATACAAATAAACTCAAATTGAACTGAAGTAACAATGCGTGCTCTACATTGCTTATGCAACCTCATTAAGCAATCTGATAGCGCCCTCTAGTGAAGGTGCCTGTCGTCCCCTCAGGTGAACATCAGGGCTGGTTAATGGAGAACTGAAGTGACATGCAGCAGGTTTGATGGTGCTTTGTGCATGTTGTTTTGTGTTCGCTGAGCTGCTGCTGTTCTGCAGAGCAAGAGTCATTAATCAGGCC